AGGACTGCTTGGCTCTTGGTTATGGTTACGTAACTATCGGCAAAGCCCCACGCGGGGGGCCTCGTTTAAACTATTTGTAATTGGCTTTCTAAAAGGAGTGGGACTGAATCCTAGTATGTTGTCACATTTCTCCCTCACTATTTCCGTATTACCTTCTTTAAATCATGGACCTAACCAATGACATGACACTGAGATTAAAATGTCATATAAAGACCTGTCTTTAGTCAAACATGGAGGAATCAGTGTAGGGAGAGCATAGAGCAAGATAACGTCTGACAACCAGAGCTTCCATCATGTTCATAACATTAGGTCTGTTAGTAGGGCATCATTGGACATTGTTGGAAATTAATGTTAATGTTAAACACGTCCATTTGCTCCATAGGTCCTTTTAACATGGCCACGTTTGGTGACCCAGTGAAGCAGCACAGCTAGCAGCAGAAGAAAGCCTGGTGCACACTTGAATGTTAATATGCCACTGTAAAAACTCTTTGCTCCAGAAAAACAAGAAGCTTGCCAAACCCTGTTTGATCTGATAAATGGTGGGAATAAATGAATACATGATACAAATCTATGTGTTTCGGGGAGCAGGTTCATTCAGCTATTTATTTCCCAAAATCAAGAGCACAGCTTCAAAGTTCAGCTCAGGAAATGAACTGCGGGAGAGCCTTATTAAAAGATGTTATCGCGCTACAAAGTAAGAAACTCTGAGGCTTGACACCACTGCACTCAGCAATGCTCTCTAGGTGGAACAAAAGCACACAGTCAGTAACTGGCTGCACACTGGTTTCTAAACACTATTATGAACAGTAGCTTATTCATGATTCTCCCCATGGTATCTATTCATTTGCATCCACTATTCAAATACTGCACAACCTCAAAACCCATCCTTATATCTCAAGAGATCGCCAGCTCAGAGATGTCATTTTACCTTTCCTGAAAGACTGCGCCTCACTTTTCATACTTAGAGAAGGCCAAACTGTCGCCTATAATCTGAAATTCTAAAGAAGATCCAGTGCTCCTAATAGCAAAATAAGACTATAATCATACACTCCATGTAATGCTCTTTGCATCTCCCTCTCTTGTATATACTTCTCACCCTATCCTATAACATCAAAGTAGGTATCTACAGCATGTAACAAGTCTGTCCTTCTCTTGTTTTGGATGTCATTGCACTCCCCCTGCAAACCAGGTCTGCCAGCAACTAAATACATTATTGGACTAACAACACTCATATAGTTGTATCCACTTAATTTATGATTTAATCGACAGGTCTGTAAAACCTCATTTCCCCACAAAGAATCATGCAAAAGCACCACTTTGAAGATTGTGTTTACCAGATATGTTTTAACTACTTCCTTGGAATTAAGTCATGCAGCATAGCAAAGCATACACATGTACTATTCTACTGTCTGAGTACCAAAATGAACAATTAGTGGTCTAACAGCAGAAGGCTCTAATTCCTGACATACGGTATCAAACATCTATTATTAGCACCAAAATATATGTAATTAGTGGAACAACTGCAATCCTTTAATGGCAAACGGTTTGGTTTTGATCCATATTTGAAAAATGTTATCCTAAATTGCATAAGTGGGAGAGAGAACACACACGTTGATGCTGTGCCATTTTCAGAAAATCACTAATACGCTGTTCAAAGACCTTTGCATGTTTAACAAAGGAAATAAAAAGGCAAATGCTTGCACACTTAACTCAGCAGGCTTGCTGCCTATAATTACTTCATATAGTAGCTACAGCACACACTGTTCATTGTGAAGATGTTTCATGTTCTATTACTGTTACCCAGTCCTATGTTTTTGGATATACTATATTCGATTTAATGTAGTTGTTTTAGATGATAGATGAGTAGATAGATAGATAGATAGATAGACTAGATAGATAGATAGATCGATAGATAGATAGATAGATAGATAGATAGATAGATAGAAGATAGATAGATAGATAGATAGATAGATAGATAGATAGATAGATAGATAGATAGATAGATAGATAGATAGATAGATAGATAGATAGATAGATAGATAGATAGATAGATAGATAGGATAGATAGATAGATAGATAGATAGATAGATAGATAGATAGATAGATAGATAGATAGATAGATAGATAGATAGATAGATAGATAGATAGATAGATAGATAGATAGATAGATAGATAGATAGATAGATAGCATAGATAGATAGATAGATAGATAGATAGATAGATAGATAGATAGATAGATAGATAGATAGATAGATAGATAGATAGATAGATAGATAGATAGATAGATAGATAGATAGATAGATAGATAGATAGATAGATAGATAGATAGATAGATAGATAGATAGATAGATAGATAGATAGATAGATAGATAGATAGATAGATAGATAGATAGATAGATAGATAGATAGATAGATAGATAGATAGATAGATATATATATATATATATATATATGATGTAGGTTCAAGTGACTTTCTGCCAGTGTAAATCAATTTGGCTCCCACTGTTTACACGCTGTCCAAACCAATTATGTACACGGGTATCAAATTCAGAGTTTAGTCTTTTCAATTATTAATTCCCACGCATCATGAAGGATTCATCTGGATGTCACTGATATGCGAGGTCTCACAGTGCTCGAGCCTTGTGTTGGAGAACCAATTGCAACGGTTTGAAAACAATAGAGGGAAAACAATAGAGGAGCGGAGACAGTCAGTCGTCCATGTGTCCAATTTTCAAAGGCAATTACAATGACGGGCGCAAGGCTGTGGGCAACATAATAAGCCACTGGGGAGGGTTTTACAGTAGGACATTTGGTTCGTTAAGGCTGGGTGGAGATCACTGGACAAAACGTTACAATGTGTTTGTGACAAAGACACACTCAGTTAAAAAAAAAAACACCTATACGTGCTTAGTTAGCATAACACAACTGTCATTTGGACATGAACAAAGAACACTCACATCAGTAATGCATCATATCCGCGTGTTTTCTTTGTCGTCCCCGAGTCCAAACGAGAAAAACTGATTTTTGTTCAAAGAAAGGAGAAGATCATGTCCACTTGTTTGCTTGAAAAACCCAACATTATCATCTCAGGGAACGGGGCTCGGTCCAAAAGAAAGAAACACAGCGTGCAACTCCAAGAAGCCTGAAGCGAAGACTAAAACAATGCTCAACTCCTCTTGGCTTCAATTTCTCACTTACTGCGTCCAGACAGACGCGCTGCTGTTCGCCGGGACCTCATAGAATATTGAACGCCAATAATGGAGCTGTGCTACGGGAAATGGAAATGCTGCCTTGCGGTTTTTATTCCGTGTTTACATCATGCTTTCTTAAGATATCCCCCCCTAAATCGACCCGTGTATGCGCTTCCTTTGTGTTCTCTGTCTCGCTCGTTGTGGGTAACGGGTTAAACCATTCCTGCAGCACGAGAGGGGGGTGAGGGGCAAGAGGAGCTATTCATGTGTATATGGGAACGAATGGGTTTGGTGACTCGTGGCCAAATGTTGTTATTGTCAGGGATAAAGATACTGGGAGGAAAAGCAGAGGGAGAAAGTGGAAGAAAACAGAAGGCGGGTAATTTTACATTTTCAAAGAACTGCTTCAATGCGTTGGCAGATTATGACAAATCTGTGCAATCACATCCTCCACACACCAAACCCTTTTACTTCTCACATTCAAGGAGGGTTTATAAGTACGCTCTCATGCTAGATTATGCAACAGAGATATAATTACGCCCAGTGTAATGTTTGGTGGGGGGGGGGGGGGGGGGGATATAAGTACCAGCCTACTCTTTAGAGAGCTTTTTGTTCGGCTGCCTGTTTCTCCCCTCAGCAGCATCTGAGTGTACTATCAGGACCTTGGATAGCTCCCTGCCAGCACCAGCCACCTGTGTCAATAAAGAGCTGGGGTTTCAAAATACTATTGGATGAAAAATGAAAATGTTCAAATATTGTTTGGGTTGTTGTTCACCAGAGTAAGGAAATGTGAGTGATGTAGCCAACTTCTAGTTAAGACCACACCATGAATTCCTTTTAACATCACTCGGGACAGCCTGATCTGGTGATGTTGGTAGAGTATCTGAGAATCTAAAAAGCTCCAGTCTTTTATAATTTAGTTTTTCAGCCGTGAAAGAAATGAATCATAGCTTTCATACTATGTGTCGGTGGATAACATGTTGGCCAACGGCGCCATCTCCTGGAGAGCTTATGGATCTAGACATGTATTTTTTTGTTCACCAGATAGAGCCTGGTGTAGCCTGTGTGTCAGATACAGTGTAGTTCCATACTCCTCCTGATATATGTTTACCATCCCAGAAAAGACACACTGTCAGGGTATCAGAGCCATGTAGCCTGTAACATTGTTTACATTCACATTTATTTGGGAAAGTTTGGTTTATTATATTTTTAAACCTAACTGACATCAACATTAACAGCTGCAGGAAAAAAAACAAGAAACTTAATTCTCGAAACCTACATTTGTTTTTCTTAGTGTCTAGGAGTGATTACTTGATGATTCACTTGATTTCTGACCTTCCTTTTATAGTGAAATATCCTACTCTCAAAGGTCCACATGTCACTTCATGTGTGATGTAACGATATAATATCAGATTAGGACAGATGGATCTTTGAAACTTTAATAGACAGTTGTCTAGAAGGCTTGGTCTGATTTCTAATTATTTTTACAATGCGTTGTTGGCTATACTGTACACTGTGACTGCTGGTATGTATTAACCATTGATTCATTGATCAATGAAAGACTAAATGATCACATGTATTTAAGCAATCTTTAAGGTAAAAAACAACTACATTTCAAAGATCAACAAATATATTTTTTTTTGTGGAAATTGTTAAATACTATTCAAAGCAGCACATTGTGCTCATAATGTAGCGCGTAGTCTGGTTTATCTTCCCCGTGTGGACGCGCAGCAGCATCTGTGCCTTTAAGAGCATCTCTGACAGCATCCTCTTCTGTCACGGACGCGCACACAGCAGCTCAACATTTGAGAATACAGCTTAGCTTTCTGCATCCACATCCTCCTAGAGATACAATCATAACATCCCATAATTACATTTATCACCAAATATTTCTCCACTGGACATTGATGAATTTGCCTCAACGGTCGCCGTAGCGGTCCATCCGATCGTTATTGCTCTTATTTCCTTCCTTCCTTCCCGCATCCAAAGACAGATCTACGCTGCAAGATGGCTGAGTTGAATTTGGGGAAGGGGCTGACCGCAGGGAAAGTGGCCAGCAACGTTCAGAAAAAACTGACGAGAGCCCAAGAAAAGGTAAGACGTGCTCACTAATGTGTAAATGTATAGGGAATTACAATGCAGGCCTACAAGCCGCGAAGCAGCAGTGCCGCATCCTCCACCGAGGCGCAGTGTCGCATCACGACATCCTCATAGGAGCAGGGATGCTGTATTTGGGGATGGGGATATCCTCTTTAAACACATAGTTTCTGAACTCAATGTCATGCAGCGGGCACGTGCATATTGCAGCGAGATATACTATAACCCTGCTCATAATTTAGCACATAACTGGAAGGTTTCGGGCATTTTAAATCCCCATTTGGGTATTTCATTGACAGCTTGTCACAGAGATGGTGGCTGCAGAAACACTGTCTTTTGTTTTTCTAGCAGTATGATGATGGGTATATTACCCATGCTGCAATACGTTTTGTATAGATGGCAGATGTGAGGCCTAGTCAATGCGTCCATGCACCTGCGCGTTGTTTTCTGAATAAAGGGCAGGGGGCGCTATTCTATCATAATGCATCATTTGCTGTAGGGTTAAATAGAGACAGGCAGAGAGCAAACCGATAATGATGCCCCTGTAAACCCAGTGTGCGTTAACAATGTGTGAATGCCATTGAATTAACAACATGTGACTCATGGGTATAAGGCATGCTTCTACATGATATACTGACAATGTGACTTATTTCTGCTTACCTTTTAGAAGATTAAACAGTATTTGTTTATTGTGTGTTCCCATTGCTCGTTTAAACAATAAAAGAGACATTTATATTACAGTTGAAAACATTGAGAGATCAAGACAGGAAATCTGATGAATGTTTGGTATACATTGCTAACCTTACCCTCAGTATTGTCATTAATGTGATCATGGGTTTGACTGACAGGTTCTTCAGAAGCTTGGCAAAGCTGATGAGACCAAAGATATTGCTTTTGAGGAAGAAGTGATCAACTTCAACAAACAATATGTGAGTACAGTCCAATGAATGGCACTTTTTAGTATGGAGCCATAATGTACATTTGCCTGGAAATCAATAAAGCTGCTGTCCAAATATCGTTATTAACATTATACAAACTGAATTTAGCATTTGGTATAACAGGTTAGCGTTTTAAATGATGTACCTAACTGTTTGAGAATGTGTCTCCTCACTGGGATGCTTTGTGTTCTGAGCCCCATGTTTTGTGTTTCACCCTAAGACTGAAGGCAGCAAACTGCAAAGGGACCTAAGGGCATACCTGGAAGCAGTAAAAGGTGACACACACAACCATGTACTTGCATGTACCAAGCTGTACATACAAACACACAATAGAAGAGGAAAAAAATACACAGATGTTCCACTAATGTATGTGTATCTCCTCAGCCATGCACGAGTCCTCCAAAAACGTGCAGGGGTGTTTGGCTGACATGTATGAGCCGGAGTGGTACGGCAAGAAGGAGGTGGATTCCATTGCGGAGGTGAGAAACTCTTTTCATGGAGGTGTTTAATGATCAGAGATTGCCTGCATCTCTGAGAGTGTGAGGACACGCTGATTTCCCTGTAGAGGTCACAGCCACTTTTCTTATTAAAGAATATCAGTTGATTGTGTGTGTGTGTGTGTGTGTGTGTGTGTGTGTGTGTGTGTGTGTGTGTGTGTGTGTGACAATTTTTTCTCAGTGTGAGATTGTGTCCTCTTGGCAGAAAGAGCCACATTATACATTAAAATCTCTTGTGATAAATGTTGAGTAGCTCTTTAGATTTTCCTCCGACGCTTTTAAGTATTACAATTGAAATTACTTTTTTGTTAATGGTTCTAATGCGACAAATCTCCCACGAGCTAGCTGCTACAAGATTCTGCAATCAGTAAAAAAGGGTTATAATGCTGTTCTTAATTTAGATAACGAACCATGAGCCAAGATTTGGCAACAGAGCTACAGGAATGTAATCAAAAATGGTGGACAAATACATCCAGGGGGGCATAATGCTGCAATAAAACAAGCAATAACAGCCTGTTCATAAAAGAGCGACCCAATTTATCCTCTTTAATCTCTCATTGTGTTTATGTATGGTACAATTATGTCCATCCATGCTACAGGACTGCGATGTGCTGTGGACTGACTACCATCAGAAGTTGGTCGATCATGCCCTCATCTCCATGGATACCTACCTGGGCCAGTTCCCTGATATCAAGGTAAGCTGTGTGGTCCATAAATATGAACCCAATATTAGTGCTGAGAAACAAGTTAATGTTTGGAAGATGAAAACAGACGGTTCCTTGCAGGTGAAGACACGTAACACGACTATGTGCTCTCCCCTTTTCTGCTCAGTCACGTATAGCTAAGAGGGACAGGAAGCTGGTGGATTACGACAGTGCCAGGCACAACTATGCTACCACACACAAGACCAAGAAAAAGGACGGGGGCATTAAAATCACCAAGGTAAAACTCATTTTAAAACCTGGCACTATGTGCAATTTTCATAAATATCACTTTTTCCATGTTGTTTTCTTGGTTTTTCTTCCAGCCGTCGTCCTTGTTGGAGAGGGCCACTCCAGGTTGGGCTCAGGGTATCTTGTCTGCACACAATGTTGCCCAGAGCAGTCTGTCCAGGAGCCAGGTACACAACAATCTTACTGCACTTTCATTACTTTCTATTCCTGCCTTTTGCTACTGTCATATATGTATGAAGGTAACATAAAAATTCGATAACAACTTGAGACAAACCATGTTGAAGAATAGTGAATGTCAGGGAATGCTACACACACAAACATATACAGTGGTATGTAACTGTGTGTGTGTTTGTTTGTTTGTTTCAGGCTGAAGAAGAGTTGGATAGAGCCCAGAAGGTGTTTGAGGAGATTAATATTGACTTGCAAGAGGAATTACCTTCACTCTGGAACAGGTGCGTACGTGCGTGTGAGTGTCTGGAGAAATTGATTCTCCCGCTGATGGATGGACGCTGTAATTACATTTCACTTACATCCATGTTACATTGCTTACCGTTACACGCTGTTAAACTAAGTCAAGACAATCATGCAATCAATACTGACTTTCTCCCTTTCTTCTTCTCCCTTTTTAGTCGTGTCGGGTTTTATGTCAGCACCTTTCAGAGTTTGTCTGGTTTTGAGGAGAAGTTTCACAAGGAAATTGGCCGGGTGAGTCTTGTGTATTTAATGCTGAATTTAGATAAAGACTGGGAGACACAAATTGACTTGTTACGCCAGATAACAGTTGATGAAGAATGTCAACAGTGCACTATTAAACTACATCAGCAATTGAATCTAAAAAAAAAACAACTATTGCAGACATTGGGTTTTAACTGAATGCAGAGAGATTATTTTCTGTAGCAAAAGGAGAGAGAGAGTCTTAAATGTTTTCTATCTGAATTTGGACATGATGATGCAAACAAGCTGTGGCAGACATTCACACTTTGCAGAATCTAGATGATATTACAGAGCAAGAAGAACAGAAAACACATTGTCATGATTCTTCTCAAAGAATGTGCATTGATCGTGCCACAAAAGTGTAGGACGATGATGATGTAATGTAGGTATTGTTATATCTAACCCATCGTCTTTCCCCCTCTATAGTTGGATCAGGATTTGCATGACGTCTTGGATACTTTGGAGGATAGAGGCACAGAGGCAGCAAGCAGGTTGGTTCCTTAAACATCCAAAATAGCAATTCTGAAGAGATTCACAAAAGAAAGCAGCAAGATGTATTTTCAGCATATAGGTATTCAATGTAATCTATGAATATCAGCACATGTTCAGGTAACAGTGATGCTATTCAGTACTCAAAAGTACTGAGATATTTTGTAAATATTGCATTAAGGTGAAAACCCAGTTACATTTGGGCAATTCCAAAATATCCCTAGTCTGCCTGAACACATGTGTTTGTGTGAAACGCTGAGCCTCATCAGTCAATCACTGACCGGTCAGTCATCAGCCACCAAAGAAAATACTTGCTCGGTTGCATATTTATGGCACCTTCTAGAAATGGGCAAATATCTTTTCAGAAATGTACGCAAATATTTAAACTTCTTGAGAGCACACAATTCATCGTGCCTTATGAACACACTGTGCTGCATTGGAAGTTGAATCAGCAGTGAATCAAGCGGTTATGTGATTTCTAACAATCACATACAAAACATATGGATCAAAAACATCATTCTTAAAAACATGTTAAGCTACAGGAATACACAAACAATGAGGCATATGCATTAACCTGGAGCCATCCCTGAACCCCCCTTTCAGAAAGACAGAATCCCGCGGCGCCTCATCGTCAGGAACAAATAGGAGGTAAACCTACAGCCACTGTGGCAACCATGGTGACACAACTTTTGTCTGTCTGTCCGACTGACCTGTCTGTCCAGCTGTCTGTCTGTCAGTCAGTCTGGGAGGTTTGAAGGAGAAGTGGTGCTTCGTTGTGACGTGAATTCACAGAAACACAGATGGTAGAGCTGTGCACCCAGATATAAGAGTTGAGCAAAACTGCATGTTAAACGCTGCACCTGGCAACACTGTTACGCAACAATGCAACTCTAATACCCAAGGTACTGAGTAGTAATATACATGGCTGGGTGAACACACTAGGCGGCCACATGACCTACAGTAAATGCGATTTGAACATATACAGAATTGCCTGGTCTAGCATTACATTTGAGGTTTTTCAACTCTTATTTTCTGGGGCTGTTTTGCCAGCTTTAGAATATATGAATATCACAGTGAATGCTTCTAACACTGAGCGCTTGTGAGGATTTACTCGAAGCACCGACAAAGCCTGCTTGCATGGGATGGAGGGAGGAAACGAGAGGACGGAAGACTCACTTTTTGCATGAAATCAACAACAGCTTTTGTTCAGACCCTTGTACAGCATGCCTCGTAACTTCTCAAGTTGTGGTAGCTTTTAGCGGCATCTTTCAACCTTTGCTCGACCTTTCTCTCACAGTGTTTGCCCTCCTTGTTACTTTCTCTGTAATCTGTCTGTCTTTTCTATCTCTCTCATTTACTCAGTGCGAGTGGGAAAGAAGCAGCTAACCACAGTCTCAGGCCAGGAGGACCACCGCCAATCCCCAAATCCCCATCCAAGGTAAACAAACTTAGACAAACAGACTGAGGCTGTCTCTTTGTTCGGCGTTGTGTCTGAATTATTTTCTTAACACAGGTGTGACTCAGAACAAAAATGTGGGATGCTTTTAATGTAGGAGATTTTTATATAATCAGTTACTTCTGTGCTCTTCCTGCAATGACAAATTAACATGTTTGTCTTCTGAGTTTGAGATTTTTAAATAACAAAATTCTAATAACTTTTGATTCACTTCCCTCCCCTGAGCAACTGTGACTCTTGAAATAGATGTGATACATTTTCTTCCGGTGTAAAAAGCACAACGTTGAAATAAATACATTGAAACTATCTTAAACCATCCTAAAATGCAGACCGAATTTGAGCCTCTCTCTCTCTCTGTTTCAGCTGAGGCCTGCAATGCCTCCTCCCCCCAAGGTGACCCCCTGTAAGGAGTTGAAAACAGAGAACATCATCAGCATGTTTGATGCTGCAGCGGCTCCTGATATCAGCGTCACCTCCCCTACAGAGGTGAGTGAGCGGCTGCTGTCTACAAACAGACAGCCTTTTCACTTTTAACTCTCCAGCACAGGTCAGAGTCTGGCCCTCCTTCTACGTCTGCTATTCTATCTGATTCTATTCTATTCTTTTTGGTTCCATTTAATTTGGTGGTAACTATTATATTCTACTATCCTACTATCCTATTATATACTGTCCTACTTTATTTGTATTCTATACTATTCTACCATATTCTATACTATCTTACCATATTCTATCATTTTCTATTATATTCTATTATATTCCATACTATTCAATTCAAGTATATTATTTTCTATTCTATTCTTTCCAACCATATTCTATTTAGTAATTTTCTCTTTTTCTATCATTGATCTATTCTCTTCTATTTGATCCAATCCTTATCTATTTTATTCTATACTTTTCTATTCCATTACTTTCTATTCTATTATTTTCTATTGTATTCTATACCATACTGTTTTTTATCCTACCATACTCTATACTTTACCATTCCATAATATTACTTCTATTCTAATCTATTCCATACTATTCAATTCAATGCTACAATTTTATTTTCTATTCTATTCTATTCTATCCAACCATATTCTATTCAATAATTTTCTCTTTTTCTATCATCGTTCTATTATCTTCTATTCTATCCTTTTCTATTCTATTCTATACCATACTGTTTTACTACTTTACTATTCCATTATATTACTTCTATTCTAATCTATTCTAATTTATTATTTTCTAATCTATTCCAATCTATTCTATTCCATCCTATTTGATTCTGCTTTGCCATCTCGCCTGCCTGTCCCTTGACCCTCTGTGCGCTCAGTTAGCCAATGAGCCCTCGTGTTCCTGTTGTTATCAGTGTGACAGTCCTGCAGTGAGCAGCCTGCTGGACATGGACCCGGACTCTTTCAGTGCAACAACCAAAGCCTCCACGGTCACACAGGTGGATCATTTACAGCATGCACATATAGGTTGTAGAGACCCTCCTCTGCAAGAAAAGCCAAGCTTCACAAGAGATTTTATTTTGTATTCAGAAATGTTTTAAAGTCATTGTTTTATTGATATATAGAGCATTGATGATAACGTTCTCTTTCCGGGCGCCGGACATGATCCCCGGGCGCCGGACATGATGGCAGCCCACTGCTCCTAACACTAGGATGGGTCAAATGCAGAGAAACCCTTTCGTTACATAGTGCCTGTACTACGTAATGACAATAAGTTGAATCTTCTTCTTCAATCTTCAATCTTCTTCTTTTAGCCAACAACATTTCCAGTTGCGGTGCAATGTTTGACTTTAAATATATTGAAACAAGCTTGATTAGACTGGATACATATTTAAAATCACTTAGTAAGCTTGGCATAGTTTGAGGTGTTGCCGGCTTTCTAATTTACTAAACAAGAGGTAGGGGTTGGCATGACGATCTGTAGAAACCTGCTTTTAGTGACCACTTCTTCCTGCTTCAGCTCTATCCACAGATCAGTCATGGCATGAAGACTAAAGCCCTGCTCTGCTCTTACTTCTCTCTCTTCCAAACTGTACTACAGAATGTGGGTTTAGATACTGACATACGTTGTACTTGCTTAAGCATACAGAAGAGAAACAAATACTTACGATACTTAGAAAGTTAGATAAAGAAGTACACTTTGTGTTATTTTACCTAAGATATGTTCAGCTGTTGTTTGATCCAGGTATGGTTTTCTTTAAGCATTATTATACCTGATAGATGAATGGTTTGTAGCCTACTGTGCTCCATGACCCGATTAGTAGTTAACAGAGTGGCCCTAATCAGTGCAGAGCAGAAGGTACCGGAGATAGATGAGATGACACAGTCTGGATCTTTTGTGGTTGTGATATTTCTGTATTTAGTGATTCATTAGATTTACAGCATTAAAGCACTGACATAAAAACATGTATCATTCACAATTGAGCTGTTATTGTTCAAGTGTTCTTGTATATAGAGTACATAGAGTTCAGTAAGCAACCTCTAACTCAAATGTTCAAGGCTGTCACATGACAATGACAAAAATGACAATAATTGAAATTAAACAAGGGGTTTTGTGTTGACTCTTTGACATTTTCATTTGCAACAGCTAATTTAAACAATAAATTAGACTACAAATGTTTTTTTAATGCATTTTCTCCCACATTTGACTCACTCTGTGGGGGGCATGTCCAATACACATATGGCAGTGGCCCCTCTTTAGACCATTGCATTTATTACTTCAATCTTTACTTATTAAACAGATTCTCTTCTTTCCTGTTCTGCTGGAGATCTTTTGCTATGGGCTTGTAGCTTTGGAGCATGGGTATTGCAACTAGAATGTCTACTTTAAAACCACAAGCAAACGCAAGAGTTTTTTTAAAAGTTATTAATTTGTTGCATCTTCTGTTTTTTCAAAGCCTGCAAACTGGGACTCATGGGTAAGCATATCATCCTCATCCTACTTGTGTTCTTAATGTGCAAAATATATCATAATCATTATGATCATCATCTTCATCAGCATACTCTCATTTGATTTCATACTACCATTCATTTGTTTGTCCTTGCTTACATTTACTACTAATGTAGCCATTATACAAGCCCCAGGGTCACAGGCAAAGCATGCTCAGCAGGGACTTCTATAATGGCGACTACTCTATAGAAAGAAGCTTTTCCTCAATGTATCTATCATGTGTCCGTCCCCAATCTGTTTGTGCGTCATCTTTGTGTCTGCAGTGCTTTGATGTGATAACACTAAACACTGAAGTGATTGTTGTACAGCACAAATAGAACTTGGGAATGAGCTCGGGTCAATTCAGTTTCAAATTGACATTTTACACTGTTATATTCAGTATATTTAATATATGAAATTAAACACAAATGGTGTCTGATCCACTTTTAAGAGCTCTCTCTTTCACATTACTAGGTTTGGAAGGCACAGTATGTAAACAGAATATAATATACCATACATTATGTATTGTGAGACACCACTGATAAAAGATAACACAAATCACACACACTTAAAAACTCTTTGTGAAATGATTTGTAACTGAATCAACCTCCTTTCTTTCTGTTCCCCCTCGTATCCCTGTGTGTGTACATGTCGCAGTGCATGTACAGCCTTTACATGATAGCTCCATGCTCCATGTGACACACAGGGAACGCTTTTGTTCTGAAAGTTGAGTGAAGTTGCCCATGTTCTCACTGGATGGTTTCATGGAAATGAGACTGGTAAACTCATAAGGGCAAGTGGGCAACTTCACAAAGCCTTGTGACATTCCGACCATTAACTAACCTTTCCGTTCATCCCTATTCCTGTAAGAGAGACGTGTCTCAACAAACATACAACTCTGCTGTATCAGAGCTTGAGGCAAAGCAGTGATAGCTCAGAAAGGAACGACACTTCTACTCTTACAAAGCTTCCTTCCTCTTTCTCCATCTGAACATAGCCGTGGGAATATAAACCTGCAAACTACACGCAGAAGATCCGACATCTATTTTCTGATGGGAAAAGGCTGACAGTGTTTGCGTGTCTGCCTTCTGCTGCCACCCTTCCTTATCTTCATCTGTCTTTTATTTTAAACCTGAACCTTCTCTGTAAAGGTTTATCCTACATCATTCTTCTTGGGTCTCATGATGATGATGATGATGATGGTGATGATGATGATCACTTTCTGCTGAACTCCTCCCATCAATGTCAATTAGCATCTTTCATGGCCTAGTTCTGCTCATACAGTATGAAGCAAAACTGTTCCGTATTCCCTTATTTTCTCTTTACAAATATCAACCTAAATAATGCTTCATGCCATCTCCCTGACCCGTATCCATGTTTAAATCTTTTAAGAGGCCGTTCTACTGGTTTACTAGGTTTTTGCTCTTTAACTAATCAGCCATTACCTACAACCTACAACATTACCTGACAGCCATTTTCAAAACAGTGGTGCTTTGAGTGAAATGCTAACATGCTAACAATAAAAATGCTACCATGCTGATGATTAGCATGTTTAATGCTTACCATGTTCACTGCCTTGGTAGGGGCTAACGGCTTAGCTTGAAGATTAAGCATACACAAATGATTAGTTAATGGGCTAAATCACACAAAATCACCAGTATGGTCTTTTAAAGTTTAAGCTACTTTACATGTTGAATACCTTATCTGTCCTTATGACAACTCAACATTAAGGGTGCGTGTCCATAGAGTGTTTTTTTTCTTCCTGTAGAAAAGTGCTTTTGGTGTGGGTTTCCTTTTTCTAGAAAACTATTTGGACAACAACTAGATTAGCATTTCCCCTTTGCATTTGATTTCAACTTTTCATTTGTTCACCATGCGCATCAATCGGATGTATTACATGTTTAGGTGTCTGAAAAGAAGGAGTGACAACACCTGCAGCGCTTTTAGTCTAAGTGGTTCCATACGCTCTCTCCTCTTTGGGAACAATTAGCAAAAGATACTGGCGCTCAAAAAAGCACGATATGGATACTTAGCCTATATGCACCCCTTTATCATCCCTTTAATATCTCTGTCAATTTCCTAATCTATTGTCGATCAAAAATATTCCTTAACCCACTTGTTTTTTGTAACTCTGGCCCTACCCTTAAATCTGGCCTTAAATCTCCCGTATACCTTGCCTTTCCGTCCCTTAAAATGTCTTCAACCATTTGATTTATGAACTCCATAAGGGTTAAATATCTCTTTTGACCTCTGCCCCCTTGAAACCTGACCCTTGCCCCTCAGCATGAGGAGAGTGATGCCCAGGAAGAATACGTCGAGCCGCACTATGACCCAGTCATTGCTGCTGTAACTGCCTGGGGGGATGATGGCGCGCAGCCTGTCCGCTATGACCCCATAGCAGCTGCCCAAGACGGCTGGGGGGACGACGGAACAGTTCCAGTTCGCATTGACCCCGTGGCTCCGGTTGAGGAGGTAGGGGGGGATGAGGCTAATAACTATCCTGAGGCTGGAGCCCAGGAGGACTGGGGCGACGACGGTGGCCCCACAGAGGAGGTGGCCCCCCCGGAGGAGGTGGCCCCTCCGGAGGAGGTGACCCCCCTGGAGGAGGTTGCCCCCCCGGAGAAGGTGGCACCCCCGGAGGAGGAAACACCGGCAGCTGAGTCTCCCATTGACGCGGCTGAGGAAGAAGCCACACCTGCTGCTGCTGCAGTGGATGATGAAGAGGGTCAGGTAACCGGAGAGAGAAAAATGGAGAGATGCATCCGGACGAAAAATGGTGGATGCATCGATTTTTGGAGTAGGAGGTTTGAGCATGGGGTGCTGGAAAGAAACAGATAGTAGATATATACATTGTGGATGAAAGGTGGAGAAATCTTGAGATAGAAAACATTAGAATGCATCTGGAACAGCAGCATGGATGCATTAACTGTGACAAAGGGCACGTTGGAAATGAATTGCTGAGGGAAAGAGATGAGTGGAGACATCTGCTTCTCAATACACACAACTAATCCCAGTCACTGCTTATCACTAATCCACGCACATAGTACTCTGGGCAAACACTTTAACTAAACTGAAACTCTGCATTAGTATCCAAGCTTAACGTCTATTCAACATACTTGCTTGTATTAGTCAGGACTTTGCTGTGTAGGCTGTGTGGCCTGTCCTTTCTGGCTGTCTTTGTCTTGTCTGTCTGTTCTGCTTTCTTCCATTCTTTCCTCCTCTTGTTTCAATATGTCACCTGTCTCATGCTCTGGTATTGTCTTTGTCTCTCTGCTCCCAGGGTGAATCTGCAGCAGCTGCTGCAGCACCAGAGGAGGAAGCCCCGGCAGAGGAGGTATGTCAAGTGGAACTACTGTAACATTCAACACCTGTTTCAATGTGTTTTTATTGCAAAATTACAGATATCATTATAATTATGTTACATTAGATATTGTTATATTACAAATTGTACACCCATTCATACACAACCACTAAATGTTTCTTTGTATGACTGAATGGCATCCTTCGTTATCTCATTTACAAGCTATCTCATCCATTATTTTTGCATTTATTATTGGAAGGAATAACTGTACTGGAAATGTTGTGACATCACATTACATTTAATTGAAACCACTATTTATTTTATGCTTTTTCCAGTACATTTAAACCTCAAGCCTTTTCTGAAATGATCCTGTTTCCAGTAGTTTCAACGTACAGACCTTTTTTTAGAACATTCTGCTGCTATATTCTTGTGAAATCATATTTAAAAAAAGTAGACTTTCGGAGGGATATTATGTCTCCTCAAAAGATGAAAACGTTTTCAGTGTGCACTACATGTCAGTTAATAGGCCCTCTGTTGTTCTAGACGCCTGAAGTAGCGGCACCATCAACAGAAGTTGCATCAGAGCCCGAAGACATTCCACCTGGCTTTTTGTTCAAGGTAAAACAGGATACAAGATTGAAAAAATGTCAATAGTGCCGAACATTATCTTAACCCAAACATATCTTTTATATATACAGAATATATGGATTTCATTAATGCTAGTATGTATGTGATATACTGTAGCTCCTGGTGATGCATGATTACGCTGCCAACGACACAGACGAACTGGAGATGAAGACTGGTGATGTGGTGCTGGTTATCTCCTTTGAAAACCCTGACGAACAGGTACAAACACACACACACACACACACACACACACACACACAAACACACACACACACACACACACACCACACACACACACACACACACACACACACACACACACACACACACACACACACACACACACACACACACACACACACACACACACACAGTTGTGTACATGCATTCATGATGTGTGTGTTTTAAGGATGATGGGTGGCTGATGGGAATGAAGGAGGACGACTGGAAGCAGAACAAAGAAAATGCCGCTAAAGGAGTATTCCCTGAGAACTTCACCCAGAGGCTGTGAAGAAGGAGGACAGGACGTCATTCCAGCTTCCTTTTCATATCTCTCTTTCTCTTGCCTCAATCTTTCCTATCCTTTCTTGCCCCGATATTACCTTTCCTAGGACTTTGGCCATAGAAGCAGAGCTGTCACAGCCCTGGCTGAAATCGTGCATTTCTGAGGTCTGCTACACTGTGCTAAAAGTGGATCTTGGCATTTCTGTGGATTTCTGCCAAAATGACAGTTACAGAAGTGGCCATTTCACTGGTTCCCCTCTTTGTTGTCTTGCTTTTGCTACACCACACCGGCGGAATTGATTCGAGAATCCCGATCACGTAAGATAGATGCAGGGATTGTTGCCTCTGCAATGGCTACTGCTGCAATTGCCTCATGTCGTTTTTATTCTTAGTCATGTCTCATCATTAACTTTCCATGGCCTATCTCACCAACATAACAGAGAAAAATGTCTTTTGAGCGGTGCTTTTGTTCATCTGATACTGAGAGAACAGTGTCAAATTATGAAGTCAACGCCAAGTGTAGCAAAGTATCCCTTAGAGTGACACATGTAGTTATTGTAGTTGTAAGCCAGGCTGACAGAAAGTTGAGCTGAGTCTTGTTTAGAAACATTCCCCAAGGAGAGTAACACATTGAAAAGTAAAAACATATCCTAGCTGGCAAGTTCCCCTAAATTGTTCTAAGTGACAACATTTGCAATCTCATCAACAAGGGACTGCATTTAGCCGCTCATTAATGAGAGTGGGTTGTTGAAACACATTTCTATTTTTGGCAATGGCCTGTTTTAGCCACATGTGTAGCCATCTATTGTCGTTTATTTCTCTTACACATGTCCATTTGCTACATGCAGCAGGCTGGTAAACATCTCAGATGCCAGTATTTCTTGTTTAATGATCCACAATCCCTCTAATTAGTCCGGGGGCTCTGCTGCTGTCACAATGCCTGTTGGACACATTCAGCCCTTGTTTTATTCCTAATTTAATTATCTACCCGTGAAACATTAGAACATGGGCCCCTTGTAGTTGTCTTGGTTTAGATCGAATAGTGATAGATTATAAACCTGTTGTTAAAATCCAAACCAATGCATTTAACTGGCATCAATCTACTTAAAGACAGCAGGAATTCAATATAAAATGCTTTAAAATTCCAACAAAAACACTTTTTACAGAGCCCTATAGAGTAGAAAAAAAACAACTGTTTCCATCTTTGACAGTCATGTTTTTTAATCCTTGTTGTTTGAACTTGTGTGAAGTTGTGTTGAGTGGGCATGTAAAAAAATCTTTTCAAGGATTTTTTTTTCACAAGGGATTCCAAATATGCATTAGCCTGGCTCGCCGAAAAGCTGGACAAAAAAACGATAAGAAAAAGACGCTGCTACTGGTAGTATAATAGTAAGGCAGATATGGTCCACCTTAAAGCTAATCAAATATATATAAACTGCGCCAGCCTCATTTGAAAAATGTGCCGAAAACAAATCCTTCCATTTGTATTGAGACACCCTAACTCAAATGCAGATGATTCAGAATATGCACCAGAGCAACTTCTTTTATTTTTGTATGCTGCCAAGCAATGATTACATATAGCCTAATATATATGTCAACATAATTGCCAACTTACTGTACGATGTTATGGAGTGTTTTGTACTTCTGTCAGGTTTACTGCTCTCAACATAGCCGCTTACTGTAGGTCATCGAAACTATCTCACATGCATCCAGTCACTGACTCAGAAGAGATTCACATTGCTCATGATGTTGTTAATAAGTGTGCGAGAAAATGGTTGTGTGCGGTTGTATGTGTGTGTTTACGGGTTGTTTGAAAACATAAATTCTTTATCTATAGGCTATTGTTATTGAACGATATCACCTCCACCTACCAGGGAATGAGGTAGTTCGTTTTACAGGAAGTTTTGGACCAACCCAAACGTATTTGGGTCTTTTTCCAATGGTTGGTATTATGGTTCCAGGTGTTATTGTGCATTTGTTGTGTATAAGTGTAATTTTGCCAAGCTGTGATGACAGATACATATTCTATAAAGACATTCATATCTGTATGTGAGTTACTGTGAGCATGCTGAATTCCCATGTGTTGATGTGTGAACACCCTTAATTTAAGACGATGATACTTTGGTCACTTTTGAGGCAGCTGAAACAGGCAATTTCTTTATTTTGTATTATTTATTTTGTTATTCTAAATAAAGGGAGGGTGGGTGGTTATATATAATGTGTGTTTTTCCACCGTTCCCTCTCAAATCAGTCCTGATTATAATTGCCTGTGATCCATCAGCCTTGCCTCAAAATGTCTCCAGGGTATCGTGGTCCAAACAGACCTAAACATGATTACATGGAGACAGGACACAGAGAAAATCTACAAACCACCAGACTCAGGTGGACACATTTTTGTAATGGTTTTCAGTATTTAAACAACTTAAGATGTGCATGATTTTTTCATATGTATTTGAAGAAGCCTCACATGTGAGAACATCACCTGCACATTTAGGTTAACCACTTTCATATTTTTTATTTGTAAACATATGTAATTTGGTGAGCGTTTCATCTGGGTCTGGTTCTCTATTTGTCTGTATGGATAATGAAGTCTCCTGTGATGAGATATGGGATACGACAAAAAGGTTTTTCCTGTACCTAACTGACCAATAATAATAAAGATTACATAGAATCTACTTTGGTTTATTTATTTGTTCTACTTTCAGAAGGTTTTTGCTCGCTGTTCCAATTGTCAGTTTATCTTAGGAAGGTTTCTAACGGATGTCAGTGCAGTCGGATTCTCTTGACGCCTCGTCGTCTTTTCCTAAATCCTTTTGAATTATCCTAACCACTATTCCTTAATCCTGTGACGTTTCACTCAGAGGTCAAGGAATAGTGGTTAGGAAAAGACATTGATTTGACCGCAACCCAGGTCTTCTATACATGTACTGAAGCATCCAGCAGGGTGTGCTGTGTTCAATGACTTACTCTCCACCCAAAATAAAAAAGGAGAAAAGCATGCAGGCATCATGAGGAGGACAGAGGAGCTGTTACTGTGTGCTGCTGTCCGTGGTACTGAAACCAAGCTGCAGCCCACCCTGTAACCACAGCCACTCATGCTGCATTCACAATGTTCAAGCTGTTGCGATTCATGACTATTTACAGCGATTGCTCACTTTTATTGCGCTTCACGTATCAACGTGTAACAGATGAGTATCAGCACCTGTCCAAAACAGAGCTGCTATCTCATTGGTGTTTCTGAAGAAAAATAAATCCCAGGCCTGTCTGTCAGAACAAGCGTTATGTAAATAAAGACTTTATAACATAGAGTAAACAGTATGTATGATGTATGCTGTAAGATCTTTAATAAATATGTTGCCATTAAATAAAGCACAGAGTAGATTGGGTTTAAAAACAACAACTTTATGTTTCATATTCAAATTGTATGAACAGAGTTGCCAAAAAATAATAATAGTTTACATTATTTTCTAAAAAATAGATCTTTAAATATTCTCTCCAGCAATAGCTTAATATACATATGTGACAAATGTTTTTAAGAAGGCATATAGAGAAACGCCTTGGAGCTCCTAGATAGCAACGTTTGAGTTGATATGCTCAATAAGTGACAACCTGAACAAACACTTATAATATAGTAATATAAAAACATTAATTTTCATTCAGCCATCCATCACATCTGCTGACTATAACAACAGAATTGCTGAACCTTTGCGAATCTAGGTGTTAAGTATAGTGTGATGGGTGGAATACAAAATAAATCAATGCAAAGGAGAGTTATCAAGTAACTATCTGTAATTTAATATTATGCAGCTGTTGCTTAATACAGTAGTTGAATACAGCCTGAGTGTTGTGTATAACTTAAGTAGATACTACTGACCGGAAATTGAAAACCTGAAACAATGAAAACATGTCACAAAATACATTTTAAATAAAACAACTGATAAAAAAACCCATGAAGATGTATAGATGAACCATATGAATCCTTTGAGATAATGAAGCAGATGAAATACTTTGAAAAACAGATTGACAGCATGCCCATTATTAACCCATGCATTTGCCTTGCATTGGTAAGTATACACACAGTGTCCATTATCCTTTTTCTGTCATTTAAATACACAGAACTTCCTCCATCATGGTCCAGTTAAATATTATTTTGGAAATTACTTATAATATACAGTATCGGCTCGATAAAATAGAAGTACAAACAAATCTGAGGATTGACTTCAGGAATGATTCTGACAGAATATTTTAACAATTCCTAAAAGAATAAATACCTATGTACATATAGAGCTTCAAATCACACCTAGTTCAGTCACTAGGTTTCTCAATGTTCTTCATTCCTCCTCAAATGTTTCCTTCATTTTTTCTATGAATCTTGGTGCTCCAAAAATGTGTAAAATGTATAAAATGTTCTCTTATTATATCAGTAAACCCCAGCGTGATCTCACACATTTTAGGACATTAAATACAGTACAAAGGAATAATTAAACTTGATTGTCTCCTTTTTTCATTTTTTTAACGGAATTTGATTGTCATCTAAATCATTTGGAATGAAGGAAATCGAAATTTCCCAAAGTAAAAGAAAATGCTGCCAGTCTATTGTCTTTTGCACAATTACATGTACTACAATTAGGACTTTGTTGATGTTTAGCAAATACAGGCAAGTAAAGTAAAAACCAATTGTTGATGGTTCTTGATCTGTGCTTTGTTTCTCCTGAATAAGTGAAAGAGGTCATCAGAGTGTACCATGTCACTGTGGCTCCTATCTTTGTACTTGCTCGATCCCCAAGGGGTGGAAGTGTCCAGCACCCAATAGCATTTGCCCCAGCCTCTGTAGAAGCCAAGTGTACCAGTGCAGGCCATCAGTCTGAGGTTCTGAGGGTCCGATCAGGCTGTAGAAGACCCTCAGTGGGGCCAGGGCCCAGTGGGCCAAATGGTGATTGTCCACAGCCGCATAGCAGGATGCTAGCACACCATTCACCACTATGGAGCCATGCTGGGTTAGTGGGGCATACAGCCCGGTGTTCCTCTGTTCTTCTACAAAGGTCACTACAGAAAGATCTGCCTGTGAGCCTACTTTCCCTTGTGATATAAGTACACACTGTCCAGGCTGGACTTCACTGGCAAATACTGTTCTCAGATCTGCTTTCCAGCGAGGCCTGTCCTTTTGTATGGAGCCCTTTAGTGGCGGCCCTTCAGCTGTCTTGTCCCACTTTGGCTCACTCTGCTCACCACTGCAGTCTGTGACAAAGATCAGGTGAGCGGCTGTGAGAGTAATATTAAGTCCTCTGTTGGTGCCAATGATGTAAAAGATCTTTGTGATGTTGGGCTGGTGGTCCAGGAAGGACAGGACCGGACTGTAGAGCAGGGAGCCGTGACCATCTGTCGTTGAAGAGGCCAAGACTCGGTCACCAGGGTGAAGGTCACGCATCTGTTTAGTAGCCCCGCCCTGGAGGATAACCTGAGCGTCGCCAGGGAAACAGCCACCGGTTTTGGCGGCAACAGAATGTTCTGGAGAAATACAAAAATAAAAATACGATTATTGGATTTAACTTTGTGTTAACGTCTATGAAGAATAAAGAAAAACAAAAAAGATTATTTCTCTTACGAAAAGAGCAAAAGCACAGCAGCACTTGGACCCCTACAGCGGCTTCATCTGCACATTGTTCTAACAGTTGTAGGTCACTGAGTGATCTATAAAGCAGGCCAGACTTTGACACTGACCCAAGGACAACTTTATCTCAGTGGATCAGCGGGAGATTGTTAGCATATGTATATAATGTGACTCATGTTCAAACCCTGGCTTTCCTGTCTGCCTCAGTCTCTCTCTCTTAAGAAGAATATGTGTAAATGCATCCACAATTAATTTGATTTACCACTATACTATAATGAAATAAATGTTATTTTTGAATACTTTGAAAAACTCTTTCAACTGGTTTGTGTGTGGGGTGGGGTCGGAAGAATGTATAATGAATAATAAAGTAACTATTGTCAAAAGGAAGCACTCCTGGTATTTTTCATATACTGTAAAGTTTTTTACTGTGAAGTTTGACCCCCCACTATACTATCACATGTATAGCACTTGTCTGCCCAAGACACCCCAGTATGTACATTTGATCTGGAGTAAATCTGTATAAGGTGGCCCTTTAAGACGCAGTGAGACGAGGTGGCAAGAAGAGGTAGTCAGCAAGAGCTAATGGATAACCAGCTGATTGTATCACCACAGTCTGAGCACGGCCCGGGGTCAGGGAAACAGGAAGGTACACAGACTCAGACCTGGGTCTAGATGTTGTTTGGATTACAGCAGAGGTTGTGCTTTAAACCGTTCCCAATGGTTCCACACACGAATGAGCACTGGCACATTGTAATGAGGCTGATTTAGTACCGACGGCAACATATTTTTTAAATAAGAAAGAACGTGTGTGTGTGTGTGTGTGTGTGTGTGTGTGTGTGTGTGTGTGTGTGTGTGTGTGTGTGTGTGTGTGTGTGTGTGTGTGTGTGTGTGTGTGTGTGTGTGTGTGTGTGTGTGTGTGTGTGTGTGTGTAAGTGTAAGTGTAAGTGTAGGAGGGTTGTGTTAAAGCAGTCTTAAAGCAGCCAAATATTTGTCTAAGGTGTGTGTTTCTGTAAGCCAGAGGGCTGCAGAGGAGGAGGTCTTTGACTGGGAGGTGATAAGACTTAGATAAGAGATCTGAGAGAAACCTACTGAAGGAAAAGCAACAGCAAAACAAAGGGAGAGTTAATCATCTCACAGCTTCTAACCTCAATGGACTGCTAGAATGTAGTTTGGCATCAAATAACTGGTAGTACTAGACATAGGTAAATGGGTTTCTAAAATGTCCCAGGTTAGAATGGCTTGAGGTGGAATGCGGTCAAGTATTGTTTGCTTAAGGGCTGTATCTAATTTGAAATAACATTTGATAAAATAAAAGGCTCTATTATTGGAATGCAGAAAAAGAGAGGCAGATAAAATGTCAAATATACAATAGATGTTATCTGTTCCATTTATTTTATATAAGTGATTGATCTGTCCTAACACTACACATAGTATAGTTTACATCCATGTCAAAAATATCAATTTTACACTAGCCTCATCTGCGAATCATACAGCTTTCTAATGTGCGATCACAAAGAATGATCACTTTACGATGAGATCAAGAAGAGAGCACAGGTGCAACACCCTGCTTTGATTGGCTCCCAATAGGCCGTACACAAACAAACAAACACACACACACACACACACACACACACACACACACACACACACACACACACACACACAACGTGGTGATAGTGGCACTGAAAGGCAAAGTAAACCATTAGTGAATCACCAACAAAAGCATCAACCTCATTAGTGGTAATGACAGCTGGCCACAAACACAAAAAACATACAAATACACACACACACACACACACACACACACACACACACACACACACACACACACACACACACACACAGCAGTTCCATCTTACCTGACTTAACGCTACAGTGAATGTGGGCTTTGGACTCGTAGTAGACCCAGTCAAATCCAGCTTCTACTGCCAGCCGGGCCAACATGCCATACTTGTTTCTGTCCCTGTAAATAAAAATACCAAAAGATATTGTAAACTCCTAATGTAATTCAATCAGAGTTTGACTGCATATTTCTCCAAAAAGCACAGAAAACATAAATGTTCCTAATGACATTCAAACATTATTTTAAAATTGTAATACCTTTAAACACAACACTGAATAATTGGTTGACTCATGACATTACTGATAGATTGACTGACAGAGTGACCTACTATAAGCAGTGTAAATTATAACTGAAGTCTAAATGGGCTATTCCCACCACAAAATGCATTCCTACCTGTCTGATGTGGTGATATCCAAAGCACGTCCCTCATAGTGCAACGAGTCTTCTGAATGATGACCATCCTCATCCCAGCCCTCAGTCACTCTCAGCTTAACACCTGGCCACATGTTCATCACTGAGATGGCCAGAGAGTTTAACTTGTCTTTGCAACGCTAAGAGAGAGGTAAATGGAGGGAAAAGTAAGGAAAGCTGTTCAAATCCAACACTACGATAAGAAATAAGGTTATCAAATAAGAGCAGATAGAGGTAAAGACCAACTGAAGAAGAGAAGAGAGGGACGTTATGGGAAGCGTTTGGTGGGTTAAGTATGAGGCACCGTTTCAGCAAAACGGTCAACAAAAAGACACCCAAGTTCAGGGGAAGAAATATATATATAATGTGGAGAGAGTGTGTGTTTGGGTGTGTGTTTGGTGGAGCAGATAGTCAGAGACATCAGTGAATCGCATTAAGACGGGGACAGGGAAGTTGGGATGGGAGAAAAAACGACAGAAAGTGGAAGAACAGAGACGGAGTGTGAGAGTTACTCAAAGCAAACAGCATGTTCATTAGTTCATTCACAAGTGATGAGGGCATACCTCTTCACTAACATATTCAAACACTAGTAGACATGTAGACAATAGCCTTATTATAACAGTGTCAGGTGAATGTTGTCAGGTGAATGGTCAAAGTAGCCTACACACAACTATCCACAAGTTCTTGCAAGGGATGATTTAGCAGTTTTTCAGTTACTTATGTAAAGTGTACGGTCCACAGCTAAAGGAGACATATTTACACAAGAAAATGTAATCTCATTAATAGCAAATAATTGACAATTTCCATCACTGAAAACAATTGACTAATTATTTAATTTAATTACAATTACATTTTAGTGAACGGTGCTTTCTTTTACTGGCCTACATATAAATAAAATACCTTCATGTGAAACTAAAATTAAGATTTTGGTTGTGAAATGTATCCTGGATAGACTTTGGTTTGACCCTAAGATTAATGTTTTTTACGCAATCCCCTTATGTCTAAACTAATTTATTAGTGTACAATGATTGAGTCTACTCAACAAAACAAAGCTGAGTTCAGGAGTAATGGCAATATATCACGGCAATATCAGCAGCCAAAAATGCCAGAGCTGAGAGTCAATGAAATCAATCATTTTGGTTGAAACATTTAACAGAGAGCAAACATTCAGGAGACAATTGGAAGCAACAGTGTGACTAATCTATTCTGAAGTAGTGTAATTATTTCACATTCCAATGATTAACCAAATTTGACATTGCAAATTCGTTTATTCTTCTCAATGTTGCCAATGAACAGCATAAACCAGGTATGAAGCAACATGGCACTCAGGAACACCGAGCTATCTTTGTGCCTCAGAGGAAGATGTTTGCACCATGCCTTTCCATCCACGTTCCTTCCTTACCTGGGTCATGAGCCTGTCAGCCCCCGTGTCCTCCTCATCTTTGAAGATAATATCTGTGTTGTAATTCGGCGTGAGTTCTTTAAAGCGCTCGGAGTTGCGCGTTATTTTACCCTCGGGTCTCCCGCTGGCTCCCAGGGTCTTCTCGGCTACCTTGGGGCTGAATTGCTTGTAGTCAAGCGGGATGAGCTTCTTCGGGAGCCGCCTCTTGCCGTACCCCCTCCCCGGCCCGCAGCCCTCCGAGGCAGGTGCGAGGAGGAGGACCAAGGCACACAGAGAGGTGGTGAGGAGGATGAAGGAGATCCGCATCGCCCCGGGGGGAGGGAGGACTCTCCCTGGGGAGAGAGATGTCTTCAGTACCTCCCCGGCTCAGTTCCCGACTCCATCGTCCGTGACAGTCGCAACATCACGTCCGAAAGACTCGGATAAAAGACGCTCACCTCGGCAGCTCCAGGCACCATGAGGACACCAAAACGTTTTTTTAGCAGCTCCAAAAAATTGACCCACAATTGAGAAACTTCGCTCCCTCCGCCTTACAGAATCAACAGTAAGTGTGTAGGCTGTAAAGTCCGTGTATTTAAACAAACAGGTTCAAAGTCGATTTGGTGGGCGAGATAGTTAAAGAGAGAGAGCGGTTACTGATATCCAAGTTGCAGTGTTGTGGTTTCTCTCCCTCTTTTTCTTTTGCTCTGTGAAACTGTCACAACACCGGCCACTTTCACCCGCTGCTTGGCTGGTCTCTGCATATGCGACCGGCGTGCAACAAGCTGCAGCTTTCCAGTTGAATTGAAAGGATTTGAGTGATCCAAAACGATCTGTTGCCACTTCAGACCGCACCCTGCCAGTCCTGCCCTCCTCTCTCCTCTCCCTCTCTCCCTCTCTCCCTCTGTCTCTACTCTGCCACCCACCCCGCCCTCCCGGGCACAGGGTGCACTGGAGAGTCCTGTCCACACTCTGCTGGCAGGCAAGCAGCAAACACAAGCTTTGCCCTTTACTGCTGCCACTTCACATTTCCACTTTTTGTCTTTGCCTGTCTATGCCCTTGAGAGCTCCGCATGGGGACGACCTCGTTTTTGTTTTTGTTATAAACTGTAAACAACACACTATCACAATCAATTAAACCAATCAATTTCCTGGAGTAGGCAGCCACCGATGTGTTTTCCCCCTGGCTGCATTCCAATATAAAATAAGATCAAGGGTCACTGGTTGACTGGCTGGCCGGTGTTTGGTTGACTGAATATTAATGGGGTAATTTACTAGCTGTGAGACGGACTGATTTCCTGATGTTTGGCAGGTGGACTAGCTGAAGCGTTGCTTGGCTGAATAACTGATAGTCTGACAGTCCAACAGACAGTTTGACTTGCTGACTGACAGACTGACTGACTCTAAGATTGGTTGCCTATCTAGACGATTGTCCTAATTAATCAACATGATTAATAACTGTATGCCAGTTTCCTAAAATTGAGAAAAACATCTTTCATTTAATAACCTTTGGCTGTCAGGCTCCCTGGCGCGCTGTGTGTGTGTGTGTGTGTGTGTGTAAGCCACACACAGCGCGCACACACACACACACATACACACACACACACACACACACACACACACACACACACACACACACACACACACACACACACACACACACATACAGTACACACATACAGTACATATTCACATACACATACACACACATACAGTACACATTCACATATACATACACACACACACACACACACACACACACACACACACACACACACACACACACACACACACACACACACACACACACATACACACTAGCAAACCCAACCCCTCCAAATTAGCTCTTCAAATATTTGCCAGCAGAAAATCAGTGGTCTCACCCCTGTTTCTCAGGGTAGGCTCCTTTGAATGAAGTGAACTGTACAAGGCTGAGGGTTTCCACAATTTATGTTTTATTATTTGTAAGTGTAAACACCATAAAGTATTTCTGCCGCACTACCGCTTTTCATGTCTCATGATGGAACAGAGAAAAGCAAAGAGAGGGATTCACACACAGTAAACAGTCATCTATAGCTGTGTTTGCCTTTAAGCTGAAATAGAACATAAACTGGGACTTGTGTAAATTCATTAGAACTTTCCTGGTATGTCATAAGTCAGTTAAAAAGAAATCTAAATGAGTGCTATAGAGGTGTCTGTGTTTTACTCAATTTGTATTTCCAGCTTTGTTATGTGAAAATGCTCTGATAATGAAGTATCACCTTATTAAGGAAGGGGAATCTCTTTTAAAAGGGACACAGGGGATACTTCTAAATGTGTAGAGAAGTGTCACAAAATCAGGAATGTGAGGTGGACATGCTCAAAGTGCATCTTTTGTGAAATATTACAGCTGAAAATGTTGCATGCAGATCAATGTATGGCAGTGCCTTGGGTGGTTCAACATTCCCTTTTACTTTTTCACGAAATCTTACATATGTCCAGTTAGTAAAAGACTACCGACAGCAGCTGTTAGCTTAGCTTAGCACACAAACTTCAAGCAGGGGGAAACAGCTGGCCTGGCTCTGTCCAAAGAGGACAGAATCTGCCTACTATACTTCTGAAGGTTACTTATTAACACATTATAGTGTGGTTTTTTAATCCGCACAATCACTGATTTGTACAAGAGCCAAGTTAATGTTTTTCATGGATCTGGGTGCCTGATTTTTTTCCAAGAGTATCAGTAACCTCTTGGAGTTTCAGATGATCCCCTGCCAAACTTATGGTGACGACAAGAGCTCAGAAAATCACAAGTCAAGAAATCACTCTGTAAAAAGAATGTGACTTTTCCACACCTAGACAATCATAATATAGCATGTGAATATGTGGAGGTAGATGGGTTTTGCAGTTCCCAGTTGTATTTATGCTAAGCTAAGCTAACAATCTAATGGCACCACCAGAGCTTCATAATACTCTGAAGACCTGAGAAATGCCTTGTTCTAGTGATCCAACTGAAAGAAAGAGATTAAGGATATGTATCAATTAAAGGTGGGGTATGTAATTTATTTCAGAAACACTTTTTGTTACATTCCATGGAATGCTCTTAACATCCCGATAGCAATGAATACATTAAATGCTTTGACAATAAATACATTAAAACATTTCATCTGTGGAAGCCGTAGTACTGTAAAAAGCACGACCAATCATTTTAGCCGGCCCGGCTAAAATAACTGGATGCCTACCTGTCTGTCAGCCTTCCATCTGTGCACAAACTTATCTCGTGCCCTCATTGGTCATGTGCGCGTTTGTGTGTGTTGGAGGGGGGGCTCTGTAAGGAAGTGGCAGATTTTCTCCGGTTGTGTATTTTCAAATTCTAGCGCACTCAAGCTGGTTTCTCCCAAATTACTTACTCCACCTTTAATCAAACTATTCTGTTTAAAGTTGGTGGTTTAACCTTTGACAACCTCTGCCTGTTAACATCAAGAGTTGTAAAGACTTGAGAAAGATACTGAATGTAAAACTGCTAATAATGAGAGACCAACGCCTTGCATGGCAGTTCTGCCACATTTGTCATGTGAACCAATCATACGTTGAAAGGTTAAAGGCGCTGAGTGATGAAGGGATTTATCATTTACACTATTAAACAGCTGATGGGATCCATCACATTCAGTACCGTCTGTAAGAGCCGATACTTCTACATTTGTACAAACGTTTGTTCGTGTCCATGCGTGAGCAGAAATCAATATGCAAATGTGTGTGTACCCACGTTTGCCCAAGCATATGCTTTCCTGTAACTATCAACATTTTGTGGCTGTGTGTGTGTCATCCTTTCTTTGAAGATCATAAATACAGGCGTGGTTCCAGGCAGGCCGGCTGCCTATTCAGCGTGGCTGTCGACAATGCTTCAGAAGTGGTCACATTCTCCCATCCATCCATCCATCCCTCCCTTCATCCATCCGTCTTTCAGTTCCTCTTTGCCTCAAGAAAGGACACCATGGCCTTTCAAGCAGACAACAATCTGATCAGATCAAACCAGAGTGGAGCCTGACACACCACAACCCCAAACAGATCTTCTCTCTCTGCTCGTATTAATCAACCTGTCAAATTATCTGTCTTACACCATTTCTCTTAGCCTTTTTATGTTCACATTCTGTAAGGTATGAGCTCAAACACACATGCATGCAGTCCCACAAACACAAAAGCAAAAACACACATATCCAGACATGTGCGTGTAGTACACGCTCACACGCTAGCAGATTCACACACACACCAGGCCAGCAGACGAGCCAACCGAGCATCAGGCCCGTGCTCATTGATGTTTGTTAAAGTTATTAATTTTCTCTGTGAAATAAGAGGCCTCGGTGGCAGGACAGAAGGAGGTGGGTGCCAGCACCAGAATCTATCTCTGCTTTCATCTGCTGGCACTGGGGCTCTATGAGTCCACAGCTAAGGGCCTTTACATGGGCATCGGGGTTACCCACGCTTACCCCGGGCCCTAACCAACAAAGGCTCTGAGTGGGGCAAAAAAGGAGGAAGGCACAGATGAAAAGAAATGCTAAGGAGATGAAGGGGAAAAAAGGGAAACATTTAAAAAAGGATGATACACACAGACAGAGAGATAATGAGAGAGGGTGAGAAACATTTACAAAGGGGTTGAGGAGAACATTTAGGGAAATGAGGGCGCAAGATGTGAATTAAAGAGTTAATGAGAGAAAGAGAAATATGTGAGAGGGATTGAATGAGTAAGAGAGAGTGAGTAGGCTACATGGCACATAAGCTGGTAAACAAGTGAGTTTGGGTTGTTTTGCACTCAGTGGAAGCTAGCGTGTTTGTGGCTTGTGGTGATTCGCTGTAATGGGGGTTAAAGGACGTTATGCTCAAGGTAACAACAGCTGGTGGCTGAAACCACCATCCCTCTTCCTCCTTCTCCTTCTTCTGTCCCTCCAAACACTCCAGCGTCTAACCCCAGACCACAATAAACACCTATCACTATGTTTCCAGATACACTAAGCTTCTAGGCATCAGAGTGCTGCTATCTGAAACCTTGTAAGCATTATACTTTCAAGACAAGGAAATTAAACTTCCTGGATTTGCTGCACTTAATTGTAGCCTTCACACATTTTGACATACATTTTTGTCAGTGAGTGCCACTTGGCCAGTGCGAGGAGTTAAGGAGCTAAGCTGGAGCTAACATAGCAGCCAGTGAAAACCACAATGACCAAAACTGTCTATCAATGGTTGTGAGTGGCACCGATACTGGTATTGCTAAAGCGGAGTTCAGTGCACTGTGTTTTGTCAAAGAGCAGACAGAAAGAAAAATAAAAGAAGGGTAATATAAAAGTAGAGTAGGCCTACAGGCTAAATATGTCTGGCAGTTAGCGGCCTAGGCTAGCCACCACATGGATACGCAAACAAAGAGCTGCCCTGGGGAGTAAAGTACGCTGTGTTTTGACACTCAACACATATGGATGGATAAACACACGCACATACATGTAAAAATACACAAGCACGCAGGTGGCTACAGACATAGGTTGTCAAAAACACTCACAAATGCAGTAATACATGCACCATTTAGTTTGCATTATTACAAGCAAACAGCCACAACCCACCTATGGAATCCTAGAATAATCATAGCCATCAATGAGTACTCAATCAATCAATGTCACAGTCTAAACACAGCTGCAACTTAGAGTTCTATGCTTTTGGCATATTTATTAATTACATGTGGATAGTTCACTTAAAAGCCTAGTCTTAAAATAAGACTTGAGGGCTGAGTGAGACACATGTTTAAAAGAGTGGAAACTTGCTTTAGGATTCCTGTCAAAGACTTAAGTCAAATGAAGTGTCCTAATAACAAGTCTAGTGCCTGGGTTATGCC